AGTACATTTTCCACATTCTAGTAAAATACCAGTGCAACGGGAATCCAGGCTCTGCAAGCTAAAACACGGGCATTTATCTGGACTCCTGCAGCTCTATTTCAGAGCAGAAGTTTGAAGAGTGATCAGACACTTACACGGACACAAGATTATTGCGGGTTTCTCCTCTTTTAGGAGCTGTTTTATGAATTCAGTCAGGTGTGCAATTTGTCTTTACGCTCCCATTTTCGGGTGCTGCTTCCCTTCCCCCTGGTGAGCTGCAGAGGATGTGGTGTGCCGGTGTGAGAGTTTGTATAGGCAGCCTCAAACAACCCAGCGGCCTTTTTCACTTCTCCCATTATGTTGTTTGTAAATAAAACACAAGCAGAGGAGAATGCACCTCGAGTCAGAGGTGCTCCCCGGTTGTCTTTGTAGATGTTAAGTGCGTGCTCACCTACCCACATGCTTTTCTGTCTGGAACATGGAAAAGTAAGACGTGTCCAAAAGCCATCACTGTTGTGCATTTATGGGATTAGAGAATTGTTTTCTTTATTAGTTACCTTCTCTCACAACAAAATAAGGAGCGGAAAGCTGTTTTTATTAATGCAGTCACTTTAGTATTGATTTTAACTATAATACCACTTTAGTCTTCAGTCTCTGTTTTCTCGTTATAACGATAATATCTAATGTCACTGTAGCAGGGATGAAATTAGTATCTCCATTTCATCATCTCATTTCTCATCTCGTTAGAGATGAGTCTGAAATAAAATCTCATTTAAGAACTCTTGGTATTGGGGGAAGTATGTCTCTGCTGTGGATTCAGACACTGATCCACAATCATAATGGAGTCAGTTGTTAACACTGGGAAGTGTTAAAGTGATCACTATATATAGGATGCTGTTCTGCTTGATGCTGGAGAGGTCTTAACCTAAATACTGTATTCGTTATGGGGCATCACTCTTTAGAAAGATGTAATAAATGAGACAATCTAAAAATGAGCAGCAAGAAGCAGAAGGTTAGGAATAAAGATGAAAGAAAGAAGAAAGCAATTTTGGGAAGAAAACAATGAAGAGGTGAACAAAGTTACATTTTCTCCAGACTGTAGAAGTATATTTAAAAGAATGGGAATCAATATTTTTTAATATCAGTTAGGAGAAGGGCAATCAATTTAATTTGTAGTGGGAAGAGACTTGAAGAGGATTGAATAGTAGGAAAAAAGAGAAAGGACAAGATACAGAAGGACAATTGTAGGATTGGACATCCAGAGAGGCCTATGAAATTGTAGTTTTGTAATATTATAATTATAGGATTGGGGATATTTTCTAGAAAGAGCGAACCAAGCCTGATTTTGAGAGGTAGAAAGCACTAGTATCGCTCTCTCTTTTTTTTTTTAACTGATATTTCAGTAATAAATATGAGAGCCCATTTTTAAAGTATAAGGGGGAAAAGGGGCTGCCTGGAACCGTAATTAGAAACTAGGAGCAAGTCTTGATCCTTTGCTTTCGGGTTTTTGTAGGTAAGGAAAAATCCTTTTCTTGCACTTTAAAAGGCCTTCTCTTCACCAAATTGAGACGTATTAATTGGTTTGACAGCAAATACTCTGCAGGTTATATATTCCTGATAGGATATCATTTTTAGCTGGCAGGTTGCTTTAGGAATCCTCTGTGTGCGGTAGCTAAGTGCAAGTGCTTTTTTGCACTTTTCTCATCAGCAAGTAAACTTGACTTTTAAAATCTTTTAGAATGAGTTTATATTTTCGGTTAGGCCATTTAAGTATTTTAAAAAATAAAAGTAGGATAATTAATATTTGACGAATGATCATGAGCGCAGGATGTTATTTCCTGTAGTGTAATACTCCTATGTAAATTAACATCATAAGAGGCTCAGCAAACAAGAATTATGTGCTACCTATCAAACAAGAAATCACATTTTGAAGTTGTGCAGAGATCTGTGTGTAACTTCTTGGTTGGGAGAAATGACTACGAATTCTCCGTTCTCCAGCTCATTCTGTGTGCACGCGCGCATGTGCATACGCTGGCACGCTCTGCCTGAACTGAACTGGGTTTGGCTCTCCTCATCTTCTGCACGTTCCACATACAATGGTTAGGGGGAGAAATAAAGTACAAGTTGGATTAAATACATAAATACACTTTCATTACGAAACAGCCCAGATTACTTGGAATGATATACAATTTTGGTTTGTGTAGATCATTGTAAACTGTAATTTATACATACTTTAGTAATGGCAGAGTGTAAATGCAAGGGAGTCCCTTTCCTTAACTTAGTCTTATTCATCATAAATCTTTTCCTGTCACTGAATGTTTTTATTGCTGAAGAGGAACTGTACCTACATGAGACCTGACTGATAACACTAAAGCTGTTACACAGCATTTTGTTAGAGAAGTGATGATATTTGTCCTTGACTGCCTGGAAAGGAAGGCACCATCTTACTGCACCTCCATAAAAGAAGGACGCTGAATCAGGTTTCTTTTTTAATGCATGTAACGCATTTGTTCAGCTCTCATTATAAAAGAGAAGCACAGACCACATTAAAAGTCCTTAATCATGCAACAGTAGTACAAAATTGAAGTGGAGGTTTTTTCCCTTGATCTCGGTAAAGCTATTTAGGAGTTCTTTTGAATAAGAAAGAGACATGTCACTTAAGTATTTTGTCTTTCCAATTTTTCTATTAAGTGATGGTGACTGGCTGCCCTGGCATAATGGGAATCTTACATGCAGTCTTTTGTCTCTAGGTTGCCATTTCAAATTTGGCTGAGATCAGTGACAACCGAAAGTTACAATCATAACAGTTTTTTTGATGGCCTACATAAAAGAGTTTAGTAGTCTTGCTAGGCTCATGCATGTGGCATACTGAACCTTTTCTGTAGCTGGAATTAATTGTGCCCATTGCTGGCTGTCCAAGAAAAATGCTGTAGACTTGAAGGACACAGAAGACAAACCTATTCTCATAGTCCTTATATATACAGTGGTTTTCCCAGTCAGATTTGATGCATATTAGCAGGGTAGTCTATACAACACCCTTCTACTCCTGTCTTCTGTGCAGTATTAAGTATTTAATAAATCTTAAGTATTTATTAAATCTAGGGACTTCCATCTCCAAGACAGTCAGTTGACATTTTCATTTCATGTATAATAATTGTATTTTTACTGTATCTGTTTACATTTATAAGTCTTGAGAGCATTGCTTTCCATTGCTAACTCACTTCACCTCTAACAGTGTAAAATACATTTGTAAATGTAAACTGGCCATGGCCACTGCACAAAGGTGGTACTATCAGCATTTCCTGAAAAAGTGATGACTTTCCTCTTTTAAGTAAAATTGATTAGAAAATGCATTTTTCAAGTTTGTTTTGTTTGTGCATGGCAGTGATAAACAGGCAACTTAAACTATAGTGTATATCATATTTAGAGAGGCTTAAATGCTTGTGAAGTATGGAAGCATGCTCGACATCAAAGAGAGGACCACAACCAAAACGCAGTCACTTAGTGTGTGTCTAATTGCATACGATTATCTGACAATGCACTTTTCTGAACAGCAAGCATTAAAGACAATCTCCCATTAAACTATATAGTTCTTAACTGTGTAAGCATATACACGATAAAAAGCATCTTTCTTCCCCCCCCCCCTTTTTTTTTCAAGTGAAAGGCCAGTTTATAATCAGCCCTACGTGGGTTCCTGAGGAGAAGGAGAAAAGGGAGAAATGGGCAGAGAAGCCACCTTACATTTATATTTAGGGCTAGTCCACGACCTGGGCTCCTTGACTGTATAGAACTAGTGCTGACTTTTACTTACCTCCTCTGCCTTATTAATCTGACCTTCCTTTTCTTTGAGATGAGCTAAGAAAAGCTGTAACTTCATCTGAAAAGAAGCGTCTTCCTATCTTCGCTTCCTCTGAGCTTTGCAGTTAAAACCTCTTGGTGCACTATACCAAGTGATTACTTAGGCTGTAACCCTGTGAAGATTAAAGCATGCGCTTAACCTTACACTCGCTGAACAATCTTGTCCAATTCAGTAGAACTAAGGTTAGCATGCAATGGTTAACATGGCCTTAGTCTTTGCAGGGCCATCATTTTAATCAGTAAACACCTTAGAACAGCAACTGTAATAGAGATTGCCCCATGCCTATCGGGACAAGGTTGCAGCTGCCAGTTGTTTTGGCAGTGCAAATAATTAATAAGGACAATAATTATGGTGCTAATTTAGCTATCAACAAGATATTTCTGGACAGAAATGAGCTACAGCTATATAGGGCAAAATACAAGCATATACTCAGGCTCTTGACAGATGATTGAAGGCAATTAAGGTACCGTGCTGTAATGAGTTTCCATTTGTCACTGAGTCACAGTGAGTTTGCTTGCCCTCCCTCTCACCTCGCTGCAGATGTGAAGTGTGTTCGCTTCATGTAGCTTCAGCAAATAGATTTCAGTTTCCAGGTAGAGTGGACCAGAAGCACACAGCCCTTTACTTAACTCAGCAGCCAGGTGGCTTGAGTTGTTAAGCCATGCTAACTCCATTATGGGGAATCATCGATCATATCCTCAAATATTCTACACTGATTTCTTCACATCTCATATAGCTATCAATTATTTTTATCTTGTTGATGCTTCACACAAACCTGAGAGAAGAATAAGAAATAAAAGGCGATGGTTAAACAAGTTACTGTAAAGTAAGCTTCACTCTGAATTTACCATGCATCGGCTGCTGTTCTGACGGAAAGTGCAACCTGCCTGAATTAAGTTGTATTTTCCATTGTGTAATATGCACGCAGGGAACACAACTTTGCGCTTATTGACATGCAGTTGCTCCTATCCAACAGTAATTGTTCATGTGCCTTAAGATGGTCTTCCGAGGTCCATTCAGTAACACTTTTGTCAGTATTTGTGTTTAGTGCTAGAATGAGGATGCCCATCAAGAAAGTGCAAATTAAAAAAAAAAAGGATATAGCATTTACAAATGAAGGGTTTTTATGTTATGTCTGTTCTGTTTATTTGCTTCCCCCCAGATCTGTAAGAGCAAAGCTAAAGAATCCCAGCAGTATTATCACAGCTTATCCATCCGGCAGAGTCTGGCTATCAACTTTAACATCCAACAGGACTGTGGCCATTTCCTTGCTGACGTGCCAGTTCGCCTCCTTCCGTGGGAGGATACCGATGCATCAGAGGTGGAAGAAGAGCAGGAAGAAGAGGAGGAAGAACCTGAGCAAAAGAACAGAGAGACTCCTTCCAGTATAGATGCTTCACAGAAAGACAGCTCAAGCAACCAGGGGACCATCAGCAAGCAGCGCAGCCGTGTCGTGGTCATCACACGGGAGGTCCCATACTTAACAGTGGCTGACTTTGTGCGGGAATCTGCACCCCGCCATGCAAAAAGCCCAGATTTATATGAGAGGCAGGTCTGTCTACTCCTTTTACAGCTGTGTTTGGGTCTGGAGCACCTGAAACCCTACCATATCACACACTGTGATCTGCGGTTGGAGAACCTGCTGCTGGTTCATTCCAGACCAGGCGGTAACCCTCTGAACTCTGAGTCCGTGGAGCCCGGTCCCAACACTGCTTGCCCGGCCAGGTTAATAGTGAGCAATTTCTCCCAGGCCAAGCAGAAGAGTCATATGGTGGATCCTGAGGTCCTACGGGATCAGTCCCGCCTGGCTCCAGAAATCATCACTGCAACACAGTACAAAAAGTGTGATGAGTTCCAGACTGGCATCCTCATCTATGAAATGCTGCACTTACCCAATCCCTTTGATGAGAATCCAGAGCTGAAGGAGAAGGAGTATACCCGTGCTGATCTTCCCAAGATCCCTTGCCGTTCCCTCTACTCTCAAGGTCTTCAACAACTTGCCAGCTGCCTGCTGAATCCCAACCCTTCAGAGAGAATCCTGATATCAGAAGCCAAGGGAATCCTTCAGTGTTTGCTGTGGGGTCCACGTGAGGACTTGTTTCATGCTCTCAGCACATCTTCCAACCCAGCCCGGAGGGATGCCGTACTTCAGAACTGGCTGGACATCAAACGGACACTGCTGATGATCAAGTTTGCAGAGAAGTCCTTGGACAGCGACTGTGGAGTTATTCTCGAAGACTGGCTTTGTTGTCAATACCTGGCATTTGCCACTATAGACTCACTTCATCGCATTGTGAGAATCATGCAGCAGCACTAGTTTGCAGAACCTGTTGCTTTTCATGAAGCCTCCTCCTGCCCCAGTCCTCACTCCAGCCTGCCCTAGGGCTCACACTTTCTACAAGTGTTTTAAAAAAAAAAAAAAAAAAAAGCCGCCTAGATTTCAAAGCCAGCAACTCTGAGCAAATAAGTTCTAATTGGAAACATTGTATCCTATACCTGATACAACCAAACTTCGCTTTCTTGCCAGGCTTAGTTATACATATATCTCACTGCATTTGGATCAGATATTTTTTAACTCGATTAATATCTGGTTGATAAGGAGAGCAAACCTTAACAGATACCACTATTTCAATCATTGCAGTGAACAGACTCCTCTCCTCTTCTGGATGGTTTCTGTCATTTCTATATGTAGCATTGGTAGTGAATAGCAGTGACCATCAGCAGAGATGGATTAATTATTAAATGGGAAATGAATGATCCACCATGCCCCTTGCCACAAAACCCTCTATTGTTTTCATTCCACATCCCATGTGAATCTTTTTCTCAGCTTAGTCAGTGTCCCCTAACGGGGCTGGACTCCTCTTCCTCTTGGCCTCATCCAGAAGGATTTGGATCTTTCTCTAACCCTTTATGCCTTCTGTTTTCCTCCCAAACATGGTTATCCTGCTGACTGCAGCCAGTGTCAATGGGCAGTAAGCATCTCCATTCTGTCCTCTTCCCGCTTTCTCTGCCTCTGACTCACTGCCTCTCCATATCCTTTCTAGCTGTGGATCCTTGATTTCAATGATCCTGCCTTAATCACACCATTATCCTTAGCTTAAGATCTCTGCATTAAAAAACACAGTATGTACACTTTGTCTTTCCCGTTTCCTAAATGACATTCACCAGGCTGGATAGCTGATGTATTGTAGATAAAACTGTGTTTATACAAGAACAATACAACAGGTGGTGGACAATTGAAATTCCCCTTCCGTTGCAAAAGGCACTAAAGCCTCACTTGAAATGGATAGAAGTACATAACCTTCTCTGACAATCACTGTTATGAATTGGGAATGAAAATAACAGCCACCTTTTCTGTTTTATTTTCGTTTGCTCTTGTCACTTGTGCCATATTGCAAAGTGGGACTGAAATTGGCACTGCTGGATGTTGGCAGGAGGTAGAATTGTTCAGAGCTCGTCTGTGTGTAGCTAACAGGCCACATGGAGACACTCTTACTCCAGACAGTTCTCTGAAGGGTAAAAACAAGGGGGCAAGAACACTGTTTTTTAATTACTGAGGGAGCTGTTAAGTTTGGCAGCCACAACTAACAATATCGTGATCCATTCTTCCCGTAGCGGTGTTTGGCTGCGTATCTCCTATGCGTAACCGGTGTTTTCTGATGTCTAATAGACAACAACCTAAAAATAGCACGTTGTCAAGATAGCTCAAGGAGCATCGCAGACAGGGTTTTGGACTAGAAAAGGAGTCATTGAGTATTAAAGAGACAGAATTTTTAAAAATTCAACCTGAAGGAGCTTTTCACTTCTAAAGGCAGCTGCTGACTTACTTGCCTGACGTAACGGCTCTTTCCTATGGAACCTCTGCAAGTGCACACACAGTGTCTTTGCTCAGTACTGCTAGGCTCTGAATTGTTTCCTAAATCGCTCTGAAGAATACATTTGGATGCAGGGGAAAAAGTGACACCGAATATTCTGACCTGGGTGATGGACAGCAGACAGCCCTAGTTATGAGCCTGTGCTTCTCTCCTATGGATCTATGTGCAATTCTTGTATGTATTTTTTAAAGCTGTACATTACAGTGTTCACTTTACACACCAGCCTTTACCTGATGCTAGATCTGCAGCCCTTTCCTTTATTTTCCTGGCACATAAATGCGCAGATATCCATGTGTTCTTTTTATGGAATGATGCTTCATTTTAACTGTTAAAACTGTGAGGAATCAATTCACTTCAGCCTTGAAACAAATAGCCACTTTATACAGCGTATGCATGCTTGGACCAGATGCGTGGAAACTGAACAAACAGTCCTGCAGGCTTAAGGTCAGCAAAACTGGCTCTGGATCCACACCATACATTCGGAGGGGTTGAAATGCCTGTGTTAGTCTTCTCTGGCAGTCTAAGCTGAATAGGGTGTGGAAGCCTACATCGATTGTGCAGTAGTATGTAGACTGTTTTTGTGACCTTTCTAGAGATTTTTGAAACTTCTGATTGTTATTCTGTTGTTTGATTCACCTGTATCAGTGAAGGATCAGGCAAGGGTAAGAATAATATATTTTAATGTGATATGTATTTTTTTTTCTTTCTCTTTTTGGCAAAAAGGTTAGGATGTCGGCATTGATAAAAAAAAAAAGAGGTCAGTGCATTGAAAGTCCAAGTGCAATGTGTGTAGTTGAGGTACTTCCACTACATCAGGAAAGAAAGTTTCTACACTAACGCTGAGCAGCTTGTAAAAGAACCCTTTACAAAGAATCACACATGCAATGCAGTCCCGCTTCATCGGGACACAGGCCGGCAACGCTCGACTAGCATAAATACGCTGAGCATAACAGGTCACGCAAATACTCTCTGCTGCCTACTAGTCACTACGTGTTGAGCTGGGAGTAGGGCACTGCTTCTTGTTCTCTGTGGTCTGGTTCTGTGTTTGTTTTGTAGTGCCTGTGCACATAACTTCTCACGTAAGTAGTATAGGCTGTGTGAGCAGCTCTTGGACCACTCGCCACTGCAACGGGCTCATTCCTTTCAGCCGGTAGGTTTTTGTGTATACGGACACACGTTCTCAGTGTTGCTTTCATGTCAACGCGCACATGCAAAGTTGAATTTTGAATGTTTTACAACCCTTCATATTTAATGCAGCTGGTCCAAAGCCTTTGTAACTCTAGCTATCTAATTTCAATTTGTAGTTCTTGTGATGAACCAATACTCATTTTAGCTCTGCAGTATAATCAAGCATGGATAGATGTTCACTACCAATCTCTCTCTTGTGCAGCACTGGGTAAACTTTAGCAATTTGTAGTGTTGTGTGTTTTTTTTCTTTAAAAAAGAAAGAATGGTCAGTTGAATGGAAGTTGAACACGATTTGGCCTGAGCTATCCCTTGGGGAGCTTCAGGCTGACTTTGCAGGTATGCCCATAGCCAGTGATTGTAACTATGTTTGTGGTGGTCCTCCATCCTGGCAACAGATTATGCCACCATAAATATCTGAGAATGTATGCATTACACTGATTGTAAACAAATCCTAAGAATGCTACAGCATAATTGCTAAGCAAAAGGAAAAAAACCCACTCAGTTTGTAATTGGGATCCTGTGTATAACAGGAACAGAACGCCTAACTGTGCATGGATAACTTAAATGGATATGTGCACAGATTTCGCATTTTTTAGTAGTGTAGCACTTTCAGCTGAGCTCAAGAAATAGGAAGAGCTGCAAATCTAAGATAACAGTATTGAGTGTAAATATATATTTTTCTATTAATAAAAGCTGCCATTCAAATATTTTTAACATGAACTCTACAGATTTTTCCAGTGCAAAGTAACTTCTGGAAAATCAAATGCTTGTTTGAAGAAGAATTGTAATGAGTGGTTTCCGATCCTTTTAGAGCCATTAAAAATCTCTCTAATGTTACAGAGAGAGCACAGTGATTGGATTCACAATGTTTAGTGCCTTGTCAAAAAACTAAAATAAAGTTGGTCAGTTGGTGGGAATCTTATTCTTCTGGTGATAGACCTACAAATAATACTGCCCACACTGAGATGCGAAAGACTATTAAAAAAAATGAAATGGTGAACTTCATGTGAGGATGAGGGGATCTATTCAATGAGAAGATTTGTTTCTGGAGATTCAGTTATGTGAACAAGTTCCTTTAAGTTGCTTGTAGTAGAGCTTAACTTCAAGTAACAACCAAAAAATTGTAGGGCTTTCAAATTTGGATCTGAATCTGCACAAGGAAAGTAATAGTAAGAAAGAAGTCGATTGGTCTAATCTGACCACAACATCCAAGAAGCCTATTGCTTTGACAATCTACTGCAGACACTCAGCGTCTAGGTGAGGAATCGGACTGGTGTGGGAAGAGGTGGGGTAGGTGAGATGCGCTGCGACTGCTGGAGGTGGTGGACTCTGCGGCGTGAAATGCAAACCTCTGGTAACGCAGGAGTTCTGGAAAACTTTCTGAGATGTTATGGAAGATGTCTTTGCTTTTTATTTCTTAAATTGGAATTGCTTATTCACTGATTATCTTTCAAGCCTCAGACTTGATCCAGTCTATGCATAATCCAGGTGAATATAGAGAATCTACTAGTAAAAACTTGCCCAGAAATCAGGAATAAGGAGATCCAGAATTTTACTCTGGAACCTCTGGAATGTCCAAATATAGAGGCCTAGCCTCTTTTTAAAATTCAGATATGGTGAAATCTGTAACTCAAGCTAGAATATTTTGTTGCTGGCCTGCAGACAAGAATGCAGAGAGCGTTTACAAAAATGTTCCACCTTACGTCTTTTAAGCTCCACATGTGCCCAGAAGCACCCACGAGATATGAACGGATCATCTTGACATTGTAGCACAGGAATTCCAACGTATTAGAGAGAAGAATATGCTGTTTAAATAAATCAGGAATGTATGTTAGCAATCCGTTACCGCAAGAGTTTATTCCGCAGCTTCATACTACTGGTTCCATACTTTAGCATGTAAAAATAGTATTTGTTGCTGAATTAGCAATGTCTCTGTTTCTCAGTTTTTGTGCTGAGAAGCCCTGCCTGAATTAATATAATTTTTTTTTAATAACAGTTTAATAAACAGTTAAACAGTTAAATTCATATGTAAATATAAATTAAATAGTCCTGTTTTTATTTAATCTAATTGTAACTTTTATGAGGGAACATTTATCAGTGGGAACTGAATCAGACCTTTTAATGCACTTTCCTTTCCCCCTTTCCCCAAATAAGAATTTAGCAGTCTGTTTCTCTGTAGAAACAGTGTAAGACCATTATTTGCTACATGACTGGGCCACCAAATTTACTCTGATTTAGTGGAGGTAGTGTTGCTTCTGCTAAATTCCTGAAAGCCTAGATAGAGCACAATCAGAGCCCTTCAGTCGAGATGTGATGATGATGTAGTTACGCAGTAAGATAACATGAAAGAAGTGCAGTATAGAACTTTAAATACCTCTATAATAATACTGCTCCCAAAAATACACCTGTGGAGATATTCTTTAAACTATCATCGGGATTCCAAACACTTCAAGGGAGGAAACGGCAAAAAATACTTTTCAAAAGACATACTAGGGAGAAGTTTCTTTAAGTTATCCTCAACTCCAAAAGGCAGAGGAACGAGGTTCCTTTCCATTGCTGTGTTTCAAAGAATTTCTAGTAGACAATCTGTATGGATTTTATTATTCACCTGGATGCAGTGTTAGAAGGATGATGGTTTTGAATAGACGTAGAACGTAATTTAAATAATTTCCTGTAAGCCTCCTTGCATTGGTGCTCCACTCAGCATTTAGTTGGAAACCACAGAATGCTTTCAGATCCAGCAGAGTTGCCGGTGAGGCTGAACTACTCAGCTTACCTGTACATAAGCATTTTACCACTCTACAGAATTTGAGAATTTGGTTTGTACTTCAGGCTATGAAGATTTTTTTTTTTCCTTAAATCCAAGGGGAAGATTTCAGGGATTTAGAAGAGGTTGGAATTTTTTTATATGGAAGAAATATATGTTCATATATATGCATATATGTGTATGTATATGAAGTTTTGTAACCCAAAAGTATTCTTTGCCCCTTTTTGTTTGAAAATATATATATTATATATTGTGTATATAATATATATTCAAGGTTGTGTAAATTTGAACATAGTTTCATAAAACAAATAACACCTCTTCAAAAATGACTTGAAACCTCTGTTTCTTTATCCTTTGGCTTGTTGGTATTAGAAGGTTTTGCAGTTGAACTCCTTGGGTTTTTTTCTTTTAAATCTTAATTATGCTGAGCATTTAAGAATATGTTCTTGTTTTTAACAAAAGGGGAAAATTATTTTTAAATTAGGGATTCCAAAATTGATGGTCTTTTATAAATGGGATTTCTTTCAAATCCCTTGGAAAAGGGATTTCTTTTCTTTTCTTTTTTTTCTTTTTTTTATTTCAACGCCATTTCTTGTGGGTAATTTGTATTTGGAATTCCTGGTTGCGTTGCTTTATCTGGTGCTTCATATTGATATTTACACATTTTTATATGAATAAGTATATAAACTTCAAGCCTTCCTTTGTGATCAGGGGCAGTTACACTCTGGTTTGCTGTGGTACTTTGCTGTGTACTCTGTGGCATTCATGTTACTGTGTAAATAAACTAGTTTTATTACACTGAAAGTCAAATTTGCAGTTGTGTTATTTTTCTCTCTTGCTAGGCAACTAGCCCAAAATGCACCTTTCTGAGGAAGGTGCGTCACCTCGGCATATTTGTCAAAAGGTGGTAAGTCTAGGAGAAGCTTAGGCTGGAAGAGCTGGCTGCTTTGCAGCGGCAGCTAGCGTGCGGTGCAGCTGATGCAAGCTAGAGCTGCTGGGGCTGATGCCCGGTGCCCTGGCCACCCCGTGGCCGTGCTTCCCCACTCCGTGGCACCTGCTATCGCCTCTGACTGTTTTCCCCAAAAGTCTCACCATGGCTGGCACTATTTCAGCTCCATCCAGACAAGCCACAGCAGCATCCCAAGCATAAACCAGCCGCTGGCAGCTGTACTGTTTTAACCACTGTCTTGTTAAGGCCTCGGCAGAGAGAAACGACTTGACACGTTGATGAAAATGGAGACGGCTGCGTGTCCACACCAGGGCGCCTGCTGTCACTAAAGGAGCTGAGCCAAAGTTAGCGATTTCCCTCGTGTGGACAGGGCTTAAATGACCTGCTGTGAAGGAATAAATGGCTTTAAGTGATTTTTTTTAATATGCTGTGACAAAGCAGGATGTCTCCAAGGCACTCATCTGCAGCAGAGTTCGCTTTGTGTCTGATCCGTTACCTTGAAGCACGCAGCCTGATGGAGAGTCTGCTGAAAAACAGATGGGATAATATGCCTCTTCCATGATCACGCAGACACGCTCCTGTGAGAGTGAGATCGAACAGCTCAATTTTGTACACAGATTTGATAGGCAGCAATAGTAGCTGCACATGCTAATTTATTAGCGTAGACCAGATGACACTGCATACATCAGAGCAATGCTGCGGTTCTGCCTGAGAACAGCACTATTCATAAATACTCTGAAAAAAAAACCAACATATGCCCTGAGGGCTCAGTTCTTCCCATAGTTACACTGGCTTTGCACAGGTGTGTCACCGGCTTCAGGAAGGCTACACGCAATCAGAATTTGGCTGGAGTGTAACTACTACGGGCCGTTCCCATCTATTGCTTAGCAGCAGTTTCAAAGCCTTTCAAAAGCAGTTTAAGCTATTGTCCTCAACCTTTTTAAAAATCCAAAGCTGACTGACTCCAGAGATGTCAGTAAACATGCAACACCTTTGACAGCCTGACACAGATATTTTGGCTGTACCAAAGTAATCCCTGTTGGCTTTCATGAAGCACCATGGACTCACCTAAAGGAGGTAGATCATGCCATTTGTCAGCAGCAATCACCAAACATCGCTGTGGAAAGAAGAGACATCCAAAAACAGTCTGAAACCTTTCAAGACACAATAATGGTACTAGCTTAACTAAAGTCTGTTTGAAACTACTTGAGTTATGTCAGTGCAAACTCTTGGTGGGTGTCCTTATGGGGTCACTGTCTGGCGTTCTCATTTTAACTTGTGCCAAACATGAATGCAAGCAAAGCCAAAGGATGCCTAGTTTAAGCTCATACAAAAATGTCTGTATCAGGGTTTTCACCAGCTCAGAAATCCACTTTTCAGTAGACGGTGTTTGTCAAGGAAAGCGCTAAGGAGCTAAGTTCCTACACCTGACAAACTCTTACAATTCTAGAAAATCTTCATGCACCATGTAAGTCCTGCTGGCTGCCCCTTTTGTCCATGCTGATGAGCTTCTGTGCTGCCGTTTATGTATCACGCCATCCTCCTCCTTCAGCCACAGTAACCAGAACCAGAGAGGAGCAGCTAGCTCACAAGGCAAACTGTTCAAGTTAAAACGTTTGAATGGAAATAATGGCTGCACTGGAAAATAGTTGATCGTTCAAGGGATCTTCAGAAAATGAGAAAGAATCCACGACCCGCATTCCCCTGAAAATGGCACTCTCCTTTCCTAAACAAAGCTGTTTACTTCTGTAAAATATGCACAGGTGCTCAAATACTGCAGTGTTGATATTGGAAACTGCACAAGGAGATTGGCCCATAAAACCAATAATGGCTCTAACTTATTCATAGAACAAGCCAAAAAGGACCATAACATTATTTGTCAGATCTAGGCCTCCCTTTTCACCTAGCTACTACTGAATCGATATATCCTGGACTGACACAAATCTCCTGAGACCAGTAATTTAAGTCTAAGTATATCTTTCAGAAAAGTACCTAGTCTTTATCCAAGAATATTAGCGGCTGGAGGAGTCATGGCTCTGTGAGGAAAGAAAGGTGTTCAAACGCCATGTTAGGCCTTCAAATCTACTGCAGTTCACCTGGTACTACTGCCATCCCAGCAGGCAGCTGTAAATCGTGGTGCTTAGTCCATCCACTCGGAAGATCGAGGCAGGTTCCTTGCTATCAGTCCATCTTTCAAAAGGGAACAGAAGCCAAGTGAGTAGCGGTATTGTCTGGAAAACAGATCCTGGTGGGCAAAGCAGGCTAGGGAGCGCAGCTTAGGGACTCCGAAGCAGATTTGTGTATACTACACTAGAGAAATGAACATTATGGCTGTTGAAAATTTTCTATCAGCTTCTCCTGCTCTTACCTACAGACGCTAATGATACCTGCTTGTTTTGCTGTTCTTAAGCTTTCTTTTGTTACATTGCAGCTGGCAGAGTCAGGACGTTTGCAAGAAGTGGACACTGGAAGTAACTGACAGTCATGTCAGGTAAAGTCACAAAAGTCTCTACTACATCTTATACTACACGAGGGGGAGGAATGGGAATGCAGAAGCTTGTTGCAAAGGTATTTTCACTGTCTGTTCTTGGTGGTACTGACCAGTGTTACTTATAGCCCCTCTGTTCAGCAAACAAACGGGAAGCTGCTGTCTCACCCAGTTCTGCCCGATGTATATGCCATGCACGTACTTGCACGGTGTCTTATAGGGGCCAGGAAGTGCCATGCCACTGGTGTCACCCGAGGCACTTGTCTTGGTGCCCTGGGGTGAGGGAGAGACAGTGATCTGGCAGAGGGGCACAGAGCCCACACTCCCCCGTGCGGCACCACGCTGCTCTTCAGGGGCAGAGGGGCCCAAGGGACGGCACCTATGCGCAGTGGGACGGGGCAGGGGACAGTTAAAGGTCTTACGTCAAATCTCAGCTTTTGCCTCTCCATTGAAGCCTTACTGGCCTAGATTAACAGCAGTGAACAGTATAAGATTAACCTTAAAAAGCAAATATTTGCCATTTAACTGTTAGAACTGAGCTGTTGGCTTCGCACCTCTCCAAAGTGCAAAAGGCTGTAAATGCTCTTCTAAAGAAAATAACAAATTAAATCAAGACAACAAATTACCCTGATTCCTACAGGGGCACTATATTTAAATCAAGTTACTGCTGGAGACAGGCCACTATCCTGCCCCATGCACAGCCAACACCGCAACGATCAAAAAGAAAAGGAACCCCCCCCATAACCTGTGAAGCCAGTCATGCAAGGGGAGCAAGTCTCCTCACAAACTTTCTCCATTTTATTCCTGAAAATAACATTTATGCTCTCCTACCTTAAATGCTCCAGCTTATCTATCAATATCTGTATGGGAGTTATTCCTAAAGCAGTCACCGCAAGACCACTGGCTTAAAACAAGAAGCAGCAATGGGATATCAGATGATGCTGTGGGATACCACATGACAAATTTTTTTATGGCTCCAGTTATAAATGCTGTAAAACCATCCACTGCTTCATAAAACCCAGGCCCAGAGCTTGACCAGCACTGACCTTTTTGCAGCCGTGAACCACACAAACCGTTTCTCTGTGGCATGCAGCATTTTCCTCTGCGTGTATCACTTTCGGCATCTTGTTCCATGGAAAGCTCAGCACGCAGTCCCGCTCTCTTCGCTGCCTGCAGCGAGACCTGCCTGGTCCGTGTTTTCTCAGGTGATGTGGCCCACACTGCGAGATTAGGAGGAACGATACTGGCATGCTTTAGAAATGGCAGAACGTATTTCACCTCTTGCACATCTACACCCTATTTGCTTTTGCTGGGCAGACATCTCCAGGCATGGATGTTCAGATTAGGCTGTTTAATTTATTTTTTAGTCATGGAAACTAGTCTGAGTTTATCCAACATTAAATTTCCTTTGCTATTTTTGTCTGCTCTTTCAGAAAGTTCAAATGCACCGAGACTCTTTTACAACCTTCTGCAATTTATGCTAGCCATGAATCAATTTCACTGGGTGATCAATCATTTCTTTCTGCAAATCAGCAGTCAGAAATGTTGAACAACTTTTCTCCCAAGACTGGTCCTGGGACACAATAGTCGGTCTTCCCTAAAGAATTTGCATTTGTTACAGAAATCTTGTTTCTAGGATCAAAAGCCTGTATTTCTCACTCACCAAATGGAAAATAAAAATACAATGTGAGATGTGTGGCAATCCCGAAGTACTTTATAAGGAGGGCATGATTCCTATGTCACAGATTCAGGAACGGATGCACAGCAAGGCGAAGGGATGTGTTCAAGGACACAGCAAGCCCACGGAAGAGGAACAGGATGCAAGAACCCTGAAGCTGAGTCCCTGAAACTAAACCAGGTCCTACAATATTTCTACTCACGTGCTATTCACCACCGAATCATGATTGTCCGCTGCTATGTGGGAACCTCCATCAATTGATTCTATCACAAAATTATTATTACTGAATTATAATTATTTTGTTGTTAATTTTAATATTAGCTGCTCAAGCAAGAAAACAGCAACATTATGCAGTTTCTAAAAAGAAAGGAAACCAGAGATGTACCACTGGCATAGTGGATCAAGCTGCTCCAACATTTATTTCAGCCTGCACAGACTTTCAGATTGAGACTAAAACTTTTTGTGTCCTCTGCCGCTTTGCCATCCTCTTCTGTGTCACAGCGTGATGTCAATGCCTCTGTTTTGAGGGAGGCAACACTGCCTCGGAGGACCCCTCTTGCCAGGAACGGTCTCGTTCCTGGGCATTACTGAGCAGCCTCTCTTACGAGGAGGCCCTAGGAAATGGCCTTCATTGCCACGAATAGGAGTCCAGCGGTCAGCTGCCTTAGCCCACCATCAGAAACGA